GATGAAAATTGGTGTCTGGCAGTTTTTTGACATGAGAAATTTGATTTTGATGTCAATATGACTCCTACTAGTAGAGGGCGCCACCTACATATTTTTAACTGGTTTGAAGAAAAATAACTTTTCGTCTGTAACTGTATAAAACTACTGAGTAAAAAAATACACATTTGCGACATTTTTTACGTGAAAAATGTCTCTTGGTAAAAATCGCTACGAGTAATGGTTTTTGAGATATTTGGAATGGAAATTATCAATACCTGTCATCATTGACATAAATTAAACATGTTGACTAAATAGTTACTAGATTGAAATCGTAAATTTGAAATGTTTTTGTACCAAAAGTTCAACAGAAATTGTTTTATCATCATTTTTGCGCATAAAAATTTATGATTAGTTAAAGAAAATAAAAATTTCCCGAATTTATTATTTCAGTCAAATAACTATCTACTCAACGTGTTATTTTTTTGTCATCAATGACATGTATTGACTATTTCATTTCTAAATATCTTGAGAACGGTTGCTCGTAGCGATTTTTAGCAAGAGACATTTTTTACGTAAAAAATAACTGAAATTTATATTTTTTTACTCAGTAATTTTATACAGGTACGGACGAAAAATTATTAACCTTCAAAAGAGTTAAACCACACGTAGGTGGCGTCCCCTACAAATAGGAGTCATATTGACATCAAGACCAAATTTCTCATGTCAAAAAACTCGCAGACACCAATTTTCATCCAAATATTGACGTAACTTCAGAAATTATTTGGAAAAAATCGAAATAAAAATGAAACTTCCTGCACCCTGTATATCCGAAACTAAGCATTTTAGGACATACATTTATATGAACTTTTTTACTTATTTTTATCAGAAGAATATGCTGCCGGAGTTTCCGGAATACAGTTCGGACCACCCTGTATATTATGAACTTACTCCAAAATACTTAAAAACACCAACTTAGTCTCAAAAATCGCTGCCTAAAGCTTGATTTTCATGCATCCGTTGTCCGACGATACGATGATCCGATATTAATTTTATTGGTTGAATTTAAAGGCTTTGATTGGTTAACAGTTACTACCAACCAAAGTCTTTAAATTGAACCAATAAAATTAATATCGTATCATCGTGTCGTCGGCCGTTATCCGATGCATGAAAATCAACTTTAATTATGGAAATCACAACTTTAACAATTCAAAAATAAGCGTCACAAAACCAATAAAGTAAACAACCTAAGACAAAATCAACTTTTTCGTTGCGCCTAAGCAACTTATGTTGAGATAAAAAAATATTATTGTTTAAGCATGTCTCTGGTTTATCAACAATAAAATACAACATCAATCGTAGGTTTGTTGATACTTTATTTTTTCGATTTATTAATTCCTAAAAAAATTGAAATGACCTCTGTGCGGCGCACTCATTGATGAGGTATTCTGGATTTCCCCATTTTCCTTACAAAATCTGCATTCGCCGTTGTTTCTTAGCCCCAATCTGCTGATATGTTCAGTGAGACCGTCCCCTGTTAAAAACCCTGTGACAATCCGAAGATTAACTTAAATCAAGGAAAATCTGTGATTATTCTCGGTGTTAAGTCCTAAGAAATTTCTTGAGTGTCTTAGACCGTTGCGTTGGAGAGACTGGAATAAGAGAGTTGGAATTCCCATTCCAGGTTACGGATGAACTCTTCCAGATTATTGAGTTCTGCTTTGAGATGGTTTCCACTTGAAAATCAGAAAAGTTCTGGCCCAGTTATTGGAGTATTCGATCTTTTTCTAGTTAGATCGTTTGCTTTTTATTACCTCCTATCCCTTGGTAGGATGGTAACCAGAGTAGGAGGACTTTAAAAGGCCTTAACAAGTATGCGAATTTCTGCATCAAGTTTATGAGGCCGGCGGAAACTATCTGATGACAAGTTTCAGGACTTTATTCCCCTCATCAGGCCGATTTTGCTACAGTTGGCGTTAAAATGCATTTAACAACGCCTCCTAGCAAGTTATATTAAACAATCTACAAAAGAGGAAAATAGATCAATGTCGTTTTTTTTTTCGTGGGGGAAAAATCTGCAAACCAGAGACCGTAAAAGGTACTGTCGGGGTGGTTGAGGTACCTTACCGACTAAAAAACCTCCACAAACCACTTTGAGTATCTCCCCAAGGAACTACCTTTCGGCATTACTTCTGGGGGAGGCAGTTTTATTGTGTTTTGTTGTTTATGTTGCAGGTAATTGAGCACTTCAGTCAAAGTTAGACACTAGCGAGTGTGGTAAGTACAAAGCAGTACTAGAGCAGTATGGTAAGTACACTCAAATTATTCCTCTTTTTTTTTACTTTCCAAACCTTTTGGCTTCGTTTTCCTTTGCAGATATCAGCGCCATATATTCCCGGACTGCTTTCCAGTTCTCATTTGACTTGAGCATCGTTGGAACCAAGTTAGTGTAAGTTAGTTTCTCTGTATTTAGACTCTCCATTAATTTATTTCTTTCATAGGTCCACCTTTTGCACTCCAGGATTGTGTGCTCTGCTGTGTCGTTATCGTGGTCACCGTAAATGCATTTTGGACTATCGGTAAGTTTCATTTTATATAAATAATTCTTGAAGCATCCGTGTCCTGATAAACATTGTGTCATAGAGTAGGTAACTTCTACATGGCTCCGCTCTATCCAGTTTTTTATATGTGGTATAAGTTGTCTTATCCACTGCGCTTTCCCGTCTATATTGTGTTTCCATCTGTCGCTCCATGTGTTCAGTATTTTTTCCCGGTTATACTCTCGCAATCTATCCGGACACGCCTTTCTCTGCATCCTCTCTTGTATTAGAAGATCTATCGGTATCATGCAACTAACTTCTGCCGCATCTACTGATATAGTGCGGTACCCTCGACATATTCGCAGCGCCAATCGCCTTTGAACTGCCCTTAACTTTTCCCTATTCTTCTTCACTTCAACGGCCCTTCCCAGACCTCGGAAGCATACAGAATGGTAGACGTCTGAACGGCGGCTAACATTCTGCGCTTAATTTCCCCATAATGGACCAGTTCGGCATAAGGTTTGATAGCAGTATACATTGCCTCTCTGCCTTCGCTGCAACCGTGCGTATGTGCTGAGTAAAGTTACCTCCAGCCTGAAACGTTACTCCCAGGTATGTTACTGTGCTTTTAAGCACAATGACTTTGTCCTTTACTAAAATGCCTCGGCCTGACAATTTGCGGCCTCCTACGAGTGCAACACATTCTGTTTTTTGAGGGGCAATTTCCAATCCCACCTCCTCCATCCAGGAACATACCTGGGACGTTGTCTGTTCTGCTATCGCAATTATTTCCTCCGCGCTTCTAGCCTTAATAATTAAAGCAATGTCATCAGCGTAGGCCAGTACTTCAGTTCCATAGGGGAATTGAAGCCTGAGAAGCCCGTCATAGAGAATATTCCAAAAAAGCGGACCTAGTATGGATCCCTGGGGCACGCCTTTTGTCATTTCCATGGCGCAGTCGGCCACCAGAATCAATCAATCACTTAAATAACTCTTGATAGATCAATGTCTAAATCCATTGATATTATACCATCCTACCTATCAGAGAGAAGAATCATAATAGAGGCCGAAGGGTTACAAAAAACTGTGATGGTAAATAGCGGTGTACCACAAGGATCAGAAACATTAGATCTGGATGGAAATATAGAGACAGGGTCATGCAGTAAATACACCTACCTTGGGACTCAGATAGATTATACCGGGCGAACAGAGAGCGAGGTCGAGGAAAGAATACTGAAAGGCAAAAAAGTCATCGGGTGCCTAAACTCAGTATTATGGTCCAAACACATCTCATATGAGAAAAAACACACTATTTATAATTCCATCTTTAAAAGTATAGTTTTATATGGATGTGAAACATGGCAGCTCACTAGTAGAATGGAACAAAGACTATTAGCACTCGAGATGGACTTCTGGCGAAGATCTGCGGGAATATCAAGAATGGAAAGAGTAGCGAATATAAAGATAAGGGAAATTATGCATGTCCAGCAAACCATAATAAATGAAATAGAGAAAAGACAGCTGGTATGGTATGGGCATGTAGAAAGAATGAGTGAGGACCGAATACCGAAGAAAGTTCTGAAATGGATACCATCAGAAAGCAGAAAAAAGGGAAGGCCGAAAGCAACATGGATCGGAGGAATACATAAAGCTATGTCGGAGAGAAACCTTCATCCAGGTGATTGGGAGAATAGGAAAGGCTGGCAACTAAGTACCGGAAGGCGTAGGACGCTATGAACCCGGTTTTATATATTTTATATATACCACAAGGATGCTCTGGAACGTACTCTATGATGAACTACTGAGGATAGAAATGCCAGATAAAACAACTTTAGTTGCCTTTGCAGATGACCTTGGTATTGTATCATGTGCAAAAGATGAAGCTGTACTGATAAACACCGTCAACTTGGCAATCCAACGAGTTGTAAACTAGATGGAGAATAATCTGTTAACCGTAGCTTCACATAAAACTGAAGCAGTATTACCGACCATAAAAAGAAAAATATCCCTGGTGCAGTTTTATATACAAGGAACTGTAATTTACCCAAGTAATTCTTAAAAATACTTAGGAGTGTGGCTGGATTCCAAATATTGAAATTGGAATTTTGCGGACCATATTAATAAAACCATCACCAAGGCCGAGAAAACTGTCACCGCTTACTCATGCCAAATGTAGGAGGTGCTAGAGCATCGAAAAGAAGAGTATTTTCTAGTGTGGTATACTCGCAGCTGTTGTATGCTGCACCGGCATGGTATAAAGTCACTAATAATCGCAAGTTAATGCAAAGACTACGCAGAACACAACGCATTATGTCTATTAGGGTATGTAGCACATCAAAACTTTATCTGGAGAGGCTATAGGAGTTACAGCTGAAATAGCGCCTATTGATCTGCTCATACAGGAACGATATGATAGATACCATGGGATGGATAAAAATCGAACAAGGACAAAACTTCTCCAACAGTGGCAAGAGAAATGGAATAACGGACTATATGGCAGATGGACTAACAGGTTAATACCCAACATACAATTATGGTTAAACAGACAATATGGAGAAGTCCATTACTTCATGAATCAAGCATTGTCTGTCCATGGGTGTTTTCGAAAATATTTATACGATCTACTGTGGTCAAGATGATGATGTTCAACATACACTATTTGCGTGTGAACGATGGTAGGTCTTTAGGGAACAATTCCGTATAGAAACCGACAGAAACTTTGACTTACCTGCATTTCGGATGTACCTAGTTAAAGGGGAAGAACAATGGAAGCTAGTATATCGGATAGTCCGAAATATAATAAGTTGTAAAGAGAGGGAAGAGGGACAATAAGCATCATGGAGTAAATCTATAGACACCCTTTGCACTGAAGCAATGCGAGAGCGCATTCCAGTGTAAAGTGGTAGTTGGAGGAGGGTTTTTTTAGCCGGTAAGAATCCGTCACTACCCAACTGTGGGTGTGTAATGCAAGATTTTTTTCTCCTCATCGCAAAAAAAAGCCGATTTTGCTGCATTCTTCGATCTGACGTCTGTCGAAATCGTCTAGATCTCGTCAATCTAATAGGACTTGGTTTTTTTCGATTTTTTTCTGCTTGCTTGTTTTACGGATAGGTGCGATCGCATAATTATTTTTGATAATGTTTTATTTAATGTTAACACTACTACTTTTTCAGTGAATCTTTAAATCTGTTGTTTTTTGTTAAGTTCGTTATTTAAACATATGTATGTAATACACTCATATTAACACTAATAATATTTTTACGTTTTTATTCATCATTTTCAATGCCCCCCCGGTTGCATCTTTGTAAAGGACTGTGAATTTTTTATCTTCTTGTATTTACGATTTGAATTTCTGAGTGCATTTGAAAAAAAAACATTAGACATACTGTAGATTGGAAAAATAGCAAATTCATGCTTATGTTCTATTTTTGATAAGATGCACAATTAGATGTTAATATCTATAGAATTCTAAATAGATACTCGTAATGCAATGAGAAAATAATTACATTTGATATCTTTCTTCAAATACTTATCCTAAATTACTTAAATAAATATTTAATTTTATCGCACTATTAAATCTGAAGTATTTAAGTACTTTTCATAAATAAATGAAAATCCACATTTATTTTTGATTTTTATATTCAATGATTTGTGTAAACATGTTCGATAACAAATTTAACTTGCTCAGCTGGTTGGTAGTGTTCGAATATCATAATGTCATTGTCTCCTTCTTTTAACAGTGGTGCGGGCAAATATAATGTTTGCTGTGGACCCATTTTCGTATATCGACCTAATACAAATCCATTTATAATCACAATACCTTTAGTGAATTCTTCCATATAAACGTAACTATCTCCGGGTGTACCAGTGATTGATAAAGTCCCTTTATATAGGACTGGTTGATTAATGTCACGAGATGTTACGGAAGTCCAGTCAGTTAAGCTATTTGTCCACGATTTCTTGAACTCTAGCGCGTACAATGTCCAGTCTGATATTATATTGCCGTTAATCAGTACATTCCCTTCCCAAAGTCCTTTATATTGTCTATATGCTCCTACGTTTACTCTGCCCCAGTTTTCTACCAATAAATCAACTGTAACGTCAGTCAGATCAACCGTATTCAATATCAATGTTGAATCATTTGTTCTCCACGTTCCAAAGTTATTCAAATCAGATGATGTTTCTAAGATAGGCGATACACGAACTCCATTTACCAGAACTATCACAGTATCACAAACTCTTCCTTCTATTTTTAAAACTGAATTAGCTGATAGAGTTAAACCTGTTTTTCTATAAACTACGTATCCATAACTCTGCCCACTACCACCGTTTATGTTCATATTTTCCATAGAAATTAAATTAGAGGATGTATCAGATAATGCATGTATTAACAAGGTATCTAGTGTTATTTGTTTGTCCAGTGTTACCCATGGATAATATATCGGCTTGATTTCATCAGGTACTGCAGGAAGTTTAGTTTGTATTGGATTATATTTAGCAATTAGTTCTTGAGCTATCCAGTATTTGTCTGTATAAGCGCCATTTTCGGCTAATGGTGCACCATAATCGTAACTAGTGGTCATAGGAGTAAATTCTGAAAAATAATGTTTTAATGATATCGAACGCATTTTGTCAATAATCTTAGAATAAAAAAATTAAGGAAAGAGCATAATATCAAAAATCTTACATCGACCGTGACGAGACTCTAATGGTGCATCCAGACCTGAGGAGTCGAGTGCGAGACGAGCGCGAGACACTCCAAATTTGCGGTGTTTTTCAAAGGATGAAGGGGTCTCGCAAGAGCCTCGCGACCGTTTCGCGAGACAACCCACGGAGCCTCGTTGCTATCCGTTCCCTGTCGGTTTTTCAACGGCCGATCAAAGACAGCTCGCAGCCAAGTCTGGACGTGTTTTTGGTAGGCTCGCTCGACTGCGAGATATTAGCTCTGATATTATAGTGCATATTGGAATGGAGACTTTCAGGAAGATCAACTGAAATTAATCGATATATATATATAAAGAAAAAACAAAAATTAATTAAAAATTTGAGAATTATTAATACGCGTTTTAGAATTATTAAAAAAATAGTAAAACTGTAGAGAAGGTTAAGATACACATTTTCAAATTATTATAGAATATACAGGGTGGTTCAAAATAGTGTTACGGATATAACATGGTTTTTTAAATGTAATACATTTTTTTTTTTATTTTTATATTCTGCGTAAAATTTTATAACTTTTTATTTATGTATAACGCGAGGTATAATGTTATATATCTAAAACTAATAGTTTTTGTAATATTTCAATTTGCTTAAACAAAAAATGTTAGATTTCAGAGTCGTAAAAAATTGTCATTAATGCTATTGTTTCTGAAGTTGGAGTGCTAAAATTTGTTAGGATAGTTTTATAGGGACGAAGAAAAAGATATAGGTAAAGATATTTGAGTTAGATGCTACAGTGTGTTCAACATATATTTATGAATTTCGACTATTTAAAATTAAATAATCTCAAATCTGTTAAATGGAACACCGTATATGTATTATCATTTTTTAATAGAATTTACAAATTTTGCGTCACTGGCACTTTTTACTGTACCGAAATCTATTTTTTTAAACAAATGGAATTATTACAAAATCGATTATGTTAGATATATAATATGATATGCAAAAAAAGTTACCGAATTGCACGTAGAATCTAATAATAAAATAAAAAATAGGGTATTCCCATTAAAACATACCGCGTGTGAGAGAGTCAAAAAAAACAAATTAAGGGTAAAAGGGGAAAAAATTGACGATGAATGAAATAGGACGAACCAAATATTATGTTAAAGATACATAAATTTATTACTTATGCGTTATTATTTGCTGCAGCTTTTCATCGGACATGTTTACACAAACCGGTCACCTTTCACTATGATCCAACTCGCTTGTCTCGCGGCAGACTTGAGTCAAAAAATGGATAGAAAATGTCTTGCTCTCGTCTCGCACTCGTCTTGCGCTTGCCTCGCTCTTGTCTTGCTCTCGTCGCGCACTCGACTCCTCAGGTCTGGACGCACTATGAGATGATCGACTTAAATTCCGGTTTATCTATGATGAAACTATGATGTAGGGTAGGCATAGGGTAGACTCGATAATTTTTTGTTTTATTTTACGTTGTCAATAAATGTTGGTAGTTATTAAAATTGTTATAAAAATATGCAATTCTAATAAAGATAGATAAGTTATAATAATTATTTACGAACACAAACATCCGATACGCTACTGAAGCAGGTAAGTCAAAGTGACGTATCTGAATTCTTTGACAACTAATCTAATCTCTCTCTAATCTTGAGTAGTAAATAAAAGCCAAAATGCAAGAAAATAGTATTGTTACGTTTTTCGTCGGTTCCGTGTGGATAGAAAGTGACAATTTATTTAAACACTATTTATTTAACACTAATTAACAAAAACAATAACGATAAAAGACTTAAAGAACTATTTACAAACGATTTATAACTAAGAATTTATTTTGAATTTTAGCGCGTCAATTGTACTTGTCTATTTATAACTGCCCTCTGTAGGCTACAGCCGCCGGCTTTTATACCGAGAGCTAAAGATAGTCCATAGATCGTTAGGTGCATAGAGAAGGTTTTGATTGTTCTCGTATGTACTACTCCATTCTAATGGAACTCGATTCTTCTCGAATCTTCGATGAATCATTACGGTGTCTATTCTTTAATGCGATGTTAAGGTCATCCGAGGGCGGGCCATATAGTTAGGTTAGGTCGAGTCCACACCGGTCCGCAACAGTATATTAAACAACGAGTTTCGAAAAGGACGTCTTGTACACAACTTCCACAGTTTGTTGGCTCGAGCCGCAGGCCAGAGCCACAAGTCGAACGAGTGTACAAAGAAGTTTTCGAACGAGTTTTTTACGCTACTTTTTCTACGACTACAAATTAGCAGCAGACTGACTCAGTTTTTGCCAGTTTTGTGAAATAATTTGCGATGTAATGATGACACTTTTCTGGCGGCTGCGTTGCGTTTGGCGTTTCAGCTAAACATTGGAGGTTAAAAATGTTAAAATTGGCACATGTCGTATGCAAAATGACACATGTCGTGCGCTAAATTCTTAGCACACAACAGTTTGCAAAACGCCAATTTCAGATCGAGTTTTTCGTGTGTCAAACTGCATTTTCTAGGCTAGTCGTAGAAAAAATATATAATTAGTTATTTTCAGTAAATTTCATGACTAAGTAAAGTAAATTTCATAAATAATCGGTTTACTACACGTGTGTATATTATACAGGGTGGTCCGAACTGTATTCCGGAAACTTCGGCAGTACCTACATTCCGCAGATAAAAATAATTAAAAAAGTTCGTATAAATGTATGTCCTAAAATTTCATCAACTTATTTTTATTTCTATTTTTTCCAAATAATTTTTGAAGTAACATCAATATTTGGATTAAAATTGGTGTCTTGGAGTTTTTTGACATGAGAAATTTGATTTTGATGTCAATATTACTCCTATTTGTAGGGGGCGCCACGTACATGTGTTTCAAGTGTTTCGAAGAGTAATAACTTTTCGTTCCTACCTGTATAAAAGTATTGATTGAAAAAATATACATTTCCGTGACTTTTTACGTAAAAAATGTCTCTTGATAAAAATCTCTACGAGTAACTGTTCTCAAGATATTTAGAAAGGAAATAGTCAATACATCTCATTATTGACAAAAAAAATAAATTCGGGAAATCTTTAGTTTTTTAAATTAATCATAAATTTTTCTGCAAAAAATGACTATAAAACAGTTTCTGCTGAACTTTTAGCACAAAAACATTTCAAATTTATGATTTCAGTCTAATAACTCAAGTCTAATAACTAAAGTCAGCATGTTTAATTTATGTCAATGATGACAGGTGTTGATAATTTCGATTCCAAATATCTCGAAAACCATTACTCGTAGCGATTTTCCCCAAGAGATGTTTTTTACGTAAAAAACGTTGTAAACGTATATTTTTGTACTAAGTAGTTTTATACAGGTACGGATAAAAAGTTATTACTCTTCAAACCAGTTAAAAAATATGTAGGTGGCGCCCTCTACAAGTAGGAGTCATATTAAAAGTCATATCAAAATCAAATTTCTCATATCAAAAACTCCCAAAACACTAATTTTCATCCAAATATTTACGTTACATCATAAATTATTTAGAAAAAATCGAAATAAAAATGAAATTTCTACACTCTGTATCACCAAAACTAAATATTTTAGAACATACATTTATACGCAGAAAAAAAATCGTGGGTGTTTGGGAAGACTTGAAAGGAAACAATGTTTTTGCGGCGTTTCTATAGAAAAAATACCCGTTAAGTTTCTGTTCGATTCGTCTGTGCGTGTCTTAGTGTTGGCGGTTGGAATCGCCATGAATGTTTGTAGGCATAATGTGGATTAATATATGTTTTGGATAAGTGGTCAGTTAATTTTATTTTGATAATTTAAAAAAAAACTGCTTCTCCTATAGTGCCCGAAGAAACGATAATAAAGTCGCGAAACGTCGCAAAAACATTGTTTCCTTTCAAGCCTTCCCAAACAACCACGAATTTTTTCTGCGTATTAAATTCTGGGAACTAACAATAATCATAATGAATACATTTATACGTTTTTTACGAGATCAACCGTCACTGTTAATTCTAAATTTCTGCTACAATTTCCTTCTAGATTTACTACCTTTAAACAACTATCAGTAGTAGAATAAATAATAAATAACATAAAATAAGCTCAGTAAAGACAGACAAATCCACAAAATTTCAAATCAAATTCAAATGTGTCAAATGAATCGTCAAACAGAACTGTCAGGGATGCCCACCCTAGAGCCCTTTATCCGTCGACACCGCATAAATACATGGATAGCATTATACTCCTTCCTTAATACTTTTATTCAAAAGTAAATAATACTTACTAGTATTTAAATCATCGTATGCTAAGTTTTGGGCACCACTTAAAAAATAAAAGTTAGTTCCTCCAATAAACATATACATATTTACGGATGCTGGATATGACAATATCGCTTCGTAAACTTCCTTAAATTGGTCAGCAGTTTTGTTTTGATGCTGCTGACCCCAATAATCGAACCAACCTGATATTGAGAGTATATAATTAGTTATCAATAAAAATTTATATTGAAAATGTAGGTACCTGACCAATATTCCATGACCATTATTGGTTTGTTGGGCTGAAGCGATTTCAGAGTATCTAAATTAGTCTGAGCGTCAGAATCGAAGTTTCCAGTCATCAAAAAGTATTCTGGATAAGCTCCGTCAGTGCCCTTCCAAGGGTTGTCTGCGGTAACCAGAAGCTCAACGATTCCTTTAAAACAGATAATGTAATTAGCACATATAATAATCGGCACATATAATAATATAATAATCCTACATAAACAGTGTCCCATATTAATGGCACACTACCGGGATCTAGTAAACTAAAAAAAAATTAAAAAGAGAAGTTACGCCTTGCTAAACAGCATTGCGGATAATATATTTTTATAAGAGAAAATTTTTTGGAGATTCACACATGTATTGAAAAACATTATTGCATTTGGAAAATTCTATTTTTTTTATTTAAATAATACAAGAAATCAATGTTTTTTTTAAACAAAGTTGAAGTTAGTATCTATAACTTCATTAAGAATCTCGCAATTAGTGAAATAAATTAGTGGTTAAGATCATTCACAAAGTCTAAAAAACACAATTAAAATTAACAGAATATCCTAGCAAAAGATTCCAGTAGTGAGTTGTATCCAAGAGAAAGCCTAATATTTAACTTATAAAACAATAATGTGGTACCACACACTTGGTATTTCAAGTCAAATTATCGTTATGAACCCCATGTTACAATTTAAAATCAACCATATGAAATAAATGTCAAAAGTTGACATATGATATGTCATTCTATTCAGAGTGTCATTTTCTATCGAATAAAGTAAAAAAATACCGAGGGTGCCATTTAAAAATCAAAAGTTGTAGTCATGTCAGGCGAAACAGGAAGTGACTAAAAACAATTGAACACGTCAATCAATTCCAATTTATGTCATATACTAACATGCCAAATCTCATTTTTATATCTGAAAGAAATAAAAAAGTTATAGAGGCACTTTTGAGATGCACCTGGTATTCCGGAGTCGTTTCTGACATAATAAATGATGTCTAACTAAATTTTGTCTTGACGGATGATAATCAAAGGTTAAAATGACATTTGTCGCAAATTTTGAAGTATAATTAGTGGAAAAGTAAAAAGTTTGTTGTCTTGTCTAACACAATTTCACTTTATACTTCTTAGTTTCAATTACACTTTATGCTTTTTAGTTTACGATCATTCACAATATCTAAAAAACAAAATTAAAATTAATAGAATATCCTAGCAACAGCTTGCGGTATGTCAGTTGTAATGAACTTTTGATTTCTAACCACAATTTTTCTTGACGGATAATAATTAAAGGTCAAAATGACATTCACGACAAATTTTGTATACAAAGTATAATTAGTGGATAAGTCAAAAGTTTGTCTACTAACTGAAAATGACCACTGAATGTTACATTGAAATCAAAGGAACAAACTTTTACATTAATTGAAACCACAAATTTATTCCACTAATTTGCGAGGTTCTGAATGAAGCTTTAGAATCGAAACGGGCGATTAAAAATTCTAGAGTAGAAAAAGTACTCATAGCAATGGGTTTGTAAATTTTTTATTGTCATATCCTTTAAAATGGGGTCAGTAATCGGGAAAATTATTTTTTTCCAAATATCTTCTAAAATAACTTATACAGTGGTATACCGATGCTTCCATAACCAAAGCAGGAACAGGTATATAATAGCAGCTTTTGGTCCAAAAACTAAATAGTGCCAACCTTGGGAATCCTCTAACGGTATAATTCACTAAAAAAAATTTCCCATGACTTAACCGAGAAAAATAAAATATTTTCCTTGGTTTAAGTAAGAACAAGACACTGTCTCTCCAATGAACACTTCAGTAGATTAAAGCTAAGAAACAAGGGCGAATGCAAATTCTACGGGGAAAATAGGGAAACACTAGAACACCTCATCACTTAGTGTGTCGAGACGACAACCATTCATACCATAGACTTTGGTGCAACTGATATCGGAGATGGAGAACTAGCCTCTGTAAAACAGTCTCAGATTTTGTCAAAGTCCTGAGACTGCATGATAAGTTATAACTCAAGAAAGAGGGACAAAATAGATATAGTCTACAAGCCTTTTTTATCTTTTCTGGTTTAAGAGATCTTTGTAGCGTGGACTTATATATGAAACTAAGTTTGTGCTATAGTAGAATCATCTCATTCATCAACCTTAAGTAACAGAAAAAAAAAATTATCTTTACCATTGTCCAACATTAATTGCCTAAGATGCCATAAATAATTATGATCCTTGTATCCCGTAATGGCATATTCATTTTCTACTTGTAACATAATAATTGGACCTCCTTTAGTAAATTGATGTTGAGCCAATATTGGCATAAGGACATTATACCACCTAAAAAAAATAACAATTCTAGAGAATCCATATAATAATTATACTGCAAGATACTAACCTAGTTACGTAATTCATATATAATTCGTTATCTGTTCTGACCCATAAGTCTTGACCGTCGCGAAGTATAAAGCTAGGGAATCCTCCAAATTCGAATTCAGCACAAATAAACGGTCCAGATCGTATGATTACAAATAAGTCTTCATCTTGTGCAGTTTGTATAAATTCTTCTAAATGTAAAAAGTCTTCCATATCAGATCCACCATTTCCAAAGTCATATACACCTAAAAAAGTTATTTTTAAATCGAGAATACACCTGTTCAAATTGGTATTACAACAGCAAAATAAAGCACTTTATTTTTGTACCGGACGCGCATTTTACTAACCATGTTAGCATTATCAGCAGATTATTAAAACTAAACTAATATCTAAAAAATTGAGCGTTTGTATAGGCGTGGTAAAACTATCCGCCAAATCTGAGAATACGTTTAGCAAATTTTACCATTTGTTGACATTCCTTTGAACGAATGTTTCTCTAATATTTCCATCATTCAAACTCTTTCTACTTTCTATATTATTAAGATGGAAAGCATTTGTTCGCACTGAACCCAGGTGTGTTCTCTGCTTAAAATTTGTGTACATAGAATACTTTATGTATAACATGTTTATTTTAATACTTATTATTAAGTAATTAGATAGATAAGATAATAAGATATTAATCTTAGCATTTAAGTCCGCTTAAAATTATGTAATTTTTGCAATTTCATTAAGAAAAAAATAACATACTTAATTGATGGATTTTTTTTCTTTTTTTTGTAATGGATAAATTCAATATTTATAATGCTTCAAGTTGTGCAAGAAAAAAATTAGGTGGTGATTGCTTATTGAAAATAAATATAATAATGAAATTTCAAATATATTTTGTTTTTAAAATAATTCCAATTGTAATGTAATCGAAAATGAGATTTGCCAAGTGAAAGTAGGTAATTATATATTTTTCAGTGTCAATGCCTTTTTTTGCACTTATCAAACCAGCACCCCGTAGCTCATAAAAATGTGGCAAATATTATTTTTTTATCTACAACCGTTTAGTTATAAAGTTTTTACATCACTATTTTTTAGTATTTCAGTTACGTTATGAGATTCATAACACAACTAGTGGTGTTATGAATCTATAACACACCTAGTTTTTATAATAATGACAATTTCCCACAATTTTAATTAAAAAATGTGACAAATGTCATAATTAAAGGTGTTAAAGGTGGGCGACTAATAAACGACAGCATTTTCTTATTTTTCGGTTGTAGATAAAACGTTGTACATGACACGTGCGTTTCAACATGATTACCACACACGTGTGACTCGAACGACTCGGTCTACGACCTCGTCACACTTGTAGTTGTAATTATGTTCATAAACACACTTGTACTATAAATAACTATAACAAAACTATAAATTTCTGTTTTTTTTTTAAACTGCTAAATATTCATTATTCTTGTTTTACTTTATTTGTTGTCAAAAATCAAAGTAACTTTGTGAGTACCTTATGGTTTAGTTGGCGGGCTCTTTAAGCAGAGAACACAACCCCGGGCGGCGACACTCCAAGTACCTGCAGAGCGACAAAAAATTGTTATAAAGGCGGCAGAGGGATTCTGTAGAGGCGGCAAACATCTCTCCTAGAGGCTCTCCGCCCCGGGCGCCACTAACCCACGCTACGCCACTGTTCCTCGAGGACCTTAGTAGGAGCTAAATTTTTGGCATCGATATCTGTTACCGTTTCGGAGTTACGAGGTGTTTTTCAAAAATATGCATTTTTAACAAATCGCTGTAACTTTTTTGCTATGGAAAATTTTGTATTTTTATGAAAACATTTCCAAGGCACCTTTTTACAGTAGAATTTAATGGTTTAAGTATATTTTTTTTTTAATTAATAATTTAAGAATTATCAACAGAAAATTTGATTTTTTATATGGGACACCCTGTATATTTTTAATTTATTGAAAATAATTTAAAATTACCTTTCCAAAAATATAACACACTTGACATTTTGCTCGATTCCTCTTCGAGATATAGAGTATATAAAAATTCGCCCGCTTTCAAAGTGGGCTTTGAACGGCACCGGCTCTAATGCCAAAAAATTCTAGCTGTGAGCATCAATCAAAACGAAAATAATATTTGCTATGAGAGATGCAGAATTTTATAACAATTTAAAATATATTTAACCAACATCAACACATTTAAACTATATCTAATAACTATAAAAATAAATAGCAAACCAAGACATGAGATTTTGCTACAGGTGTTCGACATAACGACCATCTTCTGTTATGGACAGACGGGGCAATTTTTGAACATTTCTCGCGGAATTCATTAACTCAGTAGGGGTGAAAGATACCCTCTCATAACTGCTAAGTATTTCTAATTCTTGTCTAGATTATACGGAAGGCTAACCCTTAACCTAATGCTCGTACCCCGAATTTGTAGCACCTTGTATAAGAGCTAGGGTTAAACCGGAATTGTCAGAAAGTGGAAAATATTTTGAAAAGAAACTATTTCTGTAAAAAAAAATCCTGTATATAACTAGTTAACAATACTCACCAGATTGATATTCATGTAAATTCCATGCTATATATGTTTCTACTGTGTTGAAACCTGCTGCTCTTAATTTTCTTAGCCTATCCCTCCAGTAAGCTCTTGGTACCCTAAAATAATGTATGGCACCACTATAAATATAGATTTCTTTGCCATTTAGGTAAAAAGTAGGCTGATCAGTCGATAGACCTGAGCTAATGCCATCAGATGTATAATATTCATAATTAGTTGGCAAGTCCCCTAGAGAGAAACTAACCAGCAAGCACAGTAGTAACACCGAGGGCATCATCATGTATATGACTGGAATTCTGGTCAACATAGATTATCCTTTTTATAATAGAACCTATATCAAAATCTTAAGTATCTTGGTATTTAGTATGTTTAAAATCTAAACAAAACACTTTAAAAAGTTGTTTATCATGGAATTTTTAGGATAAACAAGTACTAAAAATATATTTGTAACGTCATCGTCAGTTTTAAATAATAAACATTATAACTATTTATCAGAACCAAAGCAGGGACAGGGATAGGAGTATTTGGGCCGAAAACTAAATACTCCGAACCAATGGGCACCTACCCCAGTATCCTTCGAGCAGAAATTTACGCTATCGAAAGATGCGTACAATTTATCTTAGATAGGAACTATCGAAAACAGGAAATTACCATCCTATCCGATAGTCAAGCAGCACTTAACGCGATCAACTCAGTAACCATCAATTCGAAGTTGTTCTAGCTAGGAAAGGAGCAAACACTCCACTAACTGGACCAGAACCGTTCTGTTTTCCAAACGGGAACCAACTGAAAGCGGAACTGAAGAATCTGGAAGACTCCATTCGTAACTTGTGAATGAGTGTCCTCCAACGGTCTAAGACACTCGAAAAAGTTCCTCAGAACTTACGACCGAGAAAAATCAAAGGTTTTCCTTGATTAAAGTAAAAACAATCTTCGGATTGTCACGCGGTTTCTAACAGGACACTGTCTCCTCAAAGAACACATCAGTAGGCTGAAGCTGAGAAACAACGGCGAATGCAGATTCTGTGGGGAAAATGGGGAAACACCAGAACACCTTATCACTGAGTGCGCCGAGACGACCGCGACGACCATTCGTGCTATGAACTTTGGTACGGCTGATGTCGAGGATGGAGAGCTGGCTTCTGTGGAGCCGTCTCAGATACTGGTTTTTGTTAAAGCCCTGAGACTGTATGATGAGTTATAACTCGTTATAACAATACGTTACTATAACAATACGTTACACACAATAGATAAGGTCACGGTGATTAATTCCCCTCCTAAACATTCTACATTCTTCTATTTATCAGAACATTGCTGATTCTCTTAAGCTATATAAAGATTTTTTTTTGTTTTAATCTATACTAATATATAAAATCCTTAAGTGACTGACATACTGATTAATCACGATCCTGCTCAAACCACTCAACGTAAGAAGCTCAATTTTGGCATACAGGTTGATTCTAGGGTGTAGAGGTTCGACAAGAAGGGATTTTTCGAAATTCCAGTTCCAAGGGGGTGAAACCGCACCTCAAATATTACAATATTTTTTATTTAAAAAGCGGCCAAGTTTCCGAAAAAACGCTTAAACACATATATTTTATTTTGTTTTTTTACGTATTTTAAGATTTTTTAAAAATGTATACAGGGTGTTTCAAAAAATCTGGTCATTGATTAATCACGATCCTGCTTAAAGCGCTTGACGTAAAAAGCTGATTTTTGAAAAACAGATTGACTTTAGGGTGTAGAAGTTCGATAAGAAGGGAATTTTTCGAAACTCGAATTCTAAGGGGATGAAACTATCCCTCAAATATTAAAATATTTTTTATTTAAAAACCGGTGAGTTTTTCGGAAAAACTCTTAAACATATATATTTTATTTGTTGTTTTACATATTTTAAGATTTTTTATAAATTTATACAGGGTGTTTCATAAAATATGACCATTGAGTAATCACAATTCTGCTTAAACTGCTTAACGTTTAAAGCTGATTTTTGGCAAATGGATTGACTGTGGGGTGTAGAGGTTCGATAAGGAGGGGTTTCTCGAATCTCAAATTCCAAGAGGGTGAAAACGCCCCTCAAATATTACAATATTTGTTATTTAAAAAACGGTTAGTCTTTCGGGAAAACGCTTGGACAAGCATAATTTATTTGGTTTTTTTACATATTTTGAAATTTTTTAAAAAATCATACAAGGTGTTCCAAAAAGTTGGGTAATTTCTTAACCACGATTCTGCTTAAACTGCTTGACGTAAATAGCTTATTTTTGGCAAACGGATTTTTCGACAGTCAAATTCCAACGAGATGAAACTACCCCTCAAATATTACCAAGTTATATAATAATATCGCCATATCGTTTTTTCTCATGCTGACATAAATGTCAGAAAATTTTATCCAGTTTGTATGATAATGGAAATTCTTGTTTTGCTTTATCATCACCATTACAAATGATTAATTCAACGCGAACGAAGTCGCTGGTACACGCTAGTTATATATGAAATAGAATCTACGAGGTAATCTATGTATTTCTTCTAGAATTTTTAATTTTTTAATAAAATATAAATAATAATATTCTTTCATTATTTCTAGCCTTAGATTGACGATTTGATAGCTAAAAAAGAGTACTTTTTGGATGTAGTGGATGACAATTTTTTGTTCTAAGATTGTGCACCCCTAAAGTATTCAAGTATGCGCCGCCACTGCTATCATCACGTATTCAAGATATTGGCCTTGGGTTTTAGATAACTCATTTAATTTAAAAAAGAGGAAACTTTACTATGTCCAAATGGTTGGAAACCCATTGTGAAGTCGTAGATACTTAATAAACCATGATAATATTGCTTATTCAGAAGATTAGATGAAAGTAAGTCTTACAGAATGCTATAATTTCTGTAATAAATTACTTGCATATATCTTTTAGGTGCAAAACGGGTTCATAGAATATTTAATTTTTGCAATTTGTATTTATACTTATTGAAATGTTTAAGATTCAAAAGTTTACAGAGTTCAAGAGTTTACATATTATCTATATACTAGATTGGACCATATACTATATACTATATTAGACCATAGGCAGACTTTTATATATATAAGTCGGTTCAGAACATTCTACGACGTTTTCCGACACCTAACCTCCACTCTTCTCTATTTAGCCAGAGATCATCAGGTATTTCTCTATTTTCTAGTTCTTTATCCACACCCTCCCTCCAGCTTCATCGCGGCCTTCCTCTTTTATTTCTGCCTCGAGGTGTCCACAGTAATTTTTTTTTTGATATTCTGTGATCGGGCATTCGTTGTACATGACCAAACCATATGAGTTGTTTTGTTCTTATGTCGTCCACAATTGTGTGTTCTGCTCCCATAATCTCTCTTACTCTGTCGTTGGTTATTTGTTTTCTTTTCGATTTTCCAACAGATCTCCTCCAGTAATCCATTTCGGTCGCTAATAGCATATTTTCTGTTCTGCTTTTCAACTGCCATACTTCGCTTCTGTAAGTTATTATGCTTTTCACTACCTTATTATATATGTTCTTCTTATTAGCTTTAGATATTCCTTGATCCCACAGTACACCATTCAACATAGATATTGCTCTACTCCCTTGCATTATTCGATCTTTTATACCCTCATTGAGTTTTCCATCGTTAGTTATTTTAATCCAAGATATTTATATTTGTCACAGTTTTTATCACGCTTCCATCCTGTAAGACTCACTTCCTCAGGCTCTTTAGTCATACATTCAGCTTTGCGATATTTACCTTCAACCCCTCATTTTATACCTCTTTCATTGCTCAGCTTCCTGCCATGATATCTAAGAATGTCCGTCCTCTGGTGTCCTCGAATTCCTCTCTAGCATCCATTTACAGAGAGTTTGGTCAGATAGGTCAACACATCCTGCTTGAGGCCTTTTTGTACTTTTATATTTCTGACAATGAGTCTGTATTTTTAGTCTGGGAGGTCTGCCTGGTATGCTCCCACCGTTTCTCAGTAGGTTGACAGTTATTTCCAACGTTTCCCACAATTTCTTTAATGGTGTGCTGTCATAAGCCTTTTGGAGGTCTATATATAGTAAGTGTACCTCTTGATCTTTTGCCGTTTTTTCTCCTGTGTTCCTCGGTAGAAAGACCTGTGTTATGGTAAACAGATGATCCACAGTAGACCTTTCCGGTCTAAAACCCACCTGTTCTTCTATTTCTATCTCTTCGGCAGACTTTTAAAAATCCTATTTATGACTTCGCTATAAAATTAATAGGGCAGCTAATATTTGAACAGTTTAAAATTTGCATTGGATTGTCAAAAAAAGCAAATTAGACGGTGTGTGCTTCAAAAAATATATATATATATATATATATATATATATATATATATATATATATATATATATATATATATATATATATATATATGCTCCACTCCCACAACCGGTTTCTGGGCCTACCCTTCATCACCGACACTTTACGACATCGTCTGTTGATATAGAAGAAGTTTTGCTTGCCGTATCGGTGAGAACCAGCCCCTGGACAGCCCACCTGATGAAGGGTAGGCCCAGAAACCGGTTGTGGGAGTGGAGCTTGGTTCCCCCCTTTACGACAAGCAAAACAATTTTCTTTTTACTTTTTATTTTATTTTTTTAATTTTTTTCTCTACTTTCGATTTTTCGAAATTAGAAAAAATACACAGCTAAAGGCAAGAAAATATTATTTATTAATATACACTAAAGCTGTAAGAATTTTTGTTCATTTATATATATATATATATATATATATATATATATATATATATATATATATATATATATATATATATATATATATATATATATATATATATATTTTTTTTTTTTTTTTTTGAAGCACACCGTCTAATTTGCTTTTTTTGACAATCCAATGCAAATTTTAAACTGTTCAAATATTAGCTGCCCTATTAATTTTATAGCGAAGTCATAAATAGGATTTTTAAAAGTCTGCCGAAGAGATAGAAATAGAAGAACAGGTGGGTTTTAGACCGGAAAGGTCTACTGTGGATCATCTGTTTACCATAACACAGGTCTTTTGCCATAACACAGGTCTTAGAGAAAAAAACGAGAAACGAAAAGATCAAGAGGTACACTTACTATATATAGACCTCCAAAAGGCTTATGACAGCATACCATTAAATAAATTGTGGGAAACGTTGGAAATAACTAATATAAATGTCAACCTACGTAAAGCAGTTAAGAACTTATACCAGAACACCACAGCTAGAACAAAAATACGAGACTCATTGTCAGAAAGCATAAAAATTACAAAAGGCCTCAAGCTGGGATGTTGCCTAT